CCTATTGCCGAACGGCACCTAATACATAAAACTCCTAATACATAATATATATTCATACAGAAGTTTGAAATAACCGCGTCATGGAGCCAAAATGGTGGCAGTTCGCGATACTTTGTTAATCTAGTGACTTTATACAGGATAAACAAGAACATCTATTGGCTGCGTTCAGCAGAACGTTCGTTTTGTAACTGTTGGAAGTTTCTTTCGAGCTGATTGGATCATACTTTTAGATCTAGAAGAATGGTCCTATCTCAGCAGACAATGGCTGCGTTCAGCAGAACATTTGTTTTGCAACTGTTGGAAGTTTCCTTCGCGCTAATTGGATCATACTTTTAGATCTAGAAGAATGGTCCTATCTCAGCAGACAATCATAAAACGGTTGCAAAACTGTTGAGTCTGCTGAACGCAGCTATTGTATAGGCCGCGGACTAAATGCACGGTGTAAACATAGCCTTTAATAGTATCTCGTCGGTGATTGCATCCATGGAAACATTTATCACCAAGTGTGCAGTCTGCAGGCACTGGAATACTTTTGAACAAATAAAATTTTTGTCAATAATTTTATGCCGATAATATATCGGTGATCGATAAAGTTGCTAACGATTTTACCAACAGTAACTAATCGTTCCCTCACTTAATAAACGAAACAAATAGCGTTTACTATCTGAACGCAAGTTTGAAACGCACATTTTATGTTTTATGAACGAATTGTTTTTCAACAGAACAAAAATGTGAAATCCATATAAATAGGTGCAGGTTTATCGATATCGATTATTAATGATAAAAGATTGTAACACTCGTTTAATTTGTTACTTGACGAATTTGATAAATTCGCGGAAAAAACAGAAAATTTTGTCGAAATTTGTTTCCATTCAAAACCGAATCGAAATTGCATGCCGTTATTTTGGAATGTGCACGTCGCAATGTGTCGCGGTTGGCCGTTCGTCCGTCATTAGTTGATGTCTGCATTACATGTGCATGTGGTCCTATTGTCTATTCGAGTTCGGCGAGTAGCTGATGGTGTGATACACGAAGAATCTGAAGTACATTCGCGAGACCGAATCACACAGAGCGAGAGAATCCTGTTGGAGAGCAGTTTCCGAAAAGTGAGTTACCATATCTCGTTTGATTGTATCTGATCACGTTACGCGAGAGGTTATGTTGATTGCGACTTTACACTTCACCGGTCACCCAACTTTTCCTGACTATTCCTGAATGAGATGAATAAGATGAGATGTCCCATCTCGCAAGAATCATGTTTGTGTCAAGATCACAACATGTGATCTAATTATGCGTTAACATACTTCAGTACGAAAGATTCACTTTCTTCACGAGAGAAATTACATCTGACATCGAATTTGTTCTTTTAAGAGAAAGCAATATGGACTTGAAAACAACGCAATCATCATTTATCAAAACTTGCGAATTGTACTCTCTGTAATGTGTTGCCCGATAAGCAGTGTATGATTTGTATTTTAATAAATTAATTATCGCTCATTTGCTGCAACGATATAATTAAAAAAATTATCATTTTTAGTTGCTTACAAAAAAGAACAGAGAAACAAAGAAATATTTTAATTTTATAGTTTTTAATATTATAATATTTAATATTATAATTTTATTATAATATGAAATATTATAATATTGCATTATAAAGTAAAGAAAAACTGAGACACCGTGTCTCCAGATATGATATAAATAGTAAGAGCAATAAGAATTTTATTGGACCATAACATGAAAATATGATACATTTTTTGTTTCTATTCTTTTACATATGTATATATTATAAAATATTATAATGTTAAATAGAAAAAAAAGAAAAACGCAAAGTATAAACATTTATTCTTCGATAATTAATCATTACATTAGTTATTACATTTTATTGCATTAAAATTACATTTTAAAATTAATATTACAAAATTTTGTAAAAAAACTGTTTAAGTTATGTTGTAACAAATGAGCGATATTTTACGCAATATATAATTCGTATTTTTAAAACTGAATATTAGAAATATGTATATACAAATTAACATCGAGTTGAGTTGAAAAAGAAATTAGAAATTTAAATTAATATCGATTTAAGCCTTAAAAAATTATGGAAAACTTTAATTTTTAGTAAAATCTGTTGCAGCTAATCAGCATGTATAAATGAATATTTTAAAGAGTTTTTGCGTTTTTCTGTGTTTTTTCGTCTGTTTGGGTATTACTACTTATTAAAGTTAATTAAACTTTTTTGTTTATTTAATCAGAAAACATACTGAAATATCTTTTGCGAAAAATTTTATGAAAATGTAACCTAATTCTAGAAAAAGTAAATTATGTAATTACTATAAATTATACGACTACGTCAATGCCAGTTTTTCATCACATAGTTTTTAACATTATTTTATTCGATATGCATTTCATTAACCATGCCACTTGTATTTTCTCTTTTTACATTCTGTACAAGAACATGTCGGAAATTTCTTTTTTTTTTTTTTTTTCGTTATGCTTTTTCGTCTCTCTGCATACTTATTCGAGTTAATTATAAGTTTTTATTTATCTATTTGTTTTTAAATTCGCGGAAACACGCGAGAATATTTTTTGCGAAAGGTTTTATGGAAATTTAATCTAAGATACATCATGAAAAGACAAATTATATATCTATGTTTATTACGTCAATGCGAGTTTATCATATAATTCTTGATATTATCTTAATTGATACATATCATAAATATTATTATCTTATAAACGATTAAATTTGTTTTCTTCCGTATGCTGTGTAAGAACATGTCCTCCAATATATTGTAGATACATATAATATTTCATCATAGAAATTACATTACTATCCACTGTGGTTGTTATTTTAACAATTTTTGAAATTTAATCGGGAACCTCCCTAAAGTTGTTCAATATCTCGAAAAAACATATTTTTTTCAGATTTTTTGAACAATTTTAACCTGTGCCACCGGGACACGAGTAGGTGGAAAAAACCTTTGTGGACAAAATTCGGCCGACGATCTAATTCTTAACTAATTTTAAAGTTTTTTTTTAATTTGCTTGAAATTGAATAAGCTATAAACCCATTCTGCGTAAATTTTGATTACAATCCAAAGTAAAAATTGTCGATCCAATGAAGTGAGCAAAAAAAATCAAAATTACTGCACGATAACGAATATTGAATTGGCAATTTTTAATTTGACCCGTAATAAAAATTTACGCAGAATGGGTTTATAGCGCATTCAATGTCGAGCAAATTAAAAAAAAACTTTAAAATTGATTAAAAATTAGAGCTTCGGCTGAATTTTTCCGCTCACTGTGCAAGGTCTTGAAATTTAGTATTGCTTTTTAATGGGAATTTTTTTTAAATAGTCTTTTGACAGTTCATAGCTATCAATATTTCTGTAAACTTCATGAAAATAAAGTTTTCATCAATCATGTTATTTTTTCGAGATATTGAACCATTATAGGGAGTGTCCCGATTAAATTTCCAACATTATTAAAATATCAATGAAGTGAGCAAAAAAAATCAAAATTACTGCACGATAACGAATATTGAATTGGCAATTTTTAATTTGACCCGTAATAAAAATTTACGCAGAATGGGTTTATAGCGCATTCAATGTCGAGCAAATTAAAAAAAAACTTTAAAATTGATTAAAAATTAGAGCTTCGGCTGAATTTTTCCGCTCACTGTGCAAGGTCTTGAAATTTAGTATTGCTTTTTAATGGGAATTTTTTTTAAATAGTCTTTTGACAGTTCATAGCTATCAATATTTCTGTAAACTTCATGAAAATAAAGTTTTCAGAGTTGACAGTGTTACAAAGCTACTATGACAGTTGACAACTGTCTGAATAAAAAATATATAAGTAATAACAAATTTATTTATTGCATCGAATATTATAAGGTTAATCAAATTTTACAAAATGTTTCAAATTTCAGTCTCATATAATCTCTAATGATTAACCATATAATGATTAACCATATAGTGATGATATTTTTTATTCAGACAGTTGTCAACTCCTATACTGACATTGCAGATAGGCTAAAGCAACCAAAAATTGGCTGCTGCAGTCAATAAAAATACTATGCCATATTTTACCATCTAATTTGCTGCAGCAGCCAATCTTTTTTTCAGTGTACTCTACTATTCATTTATATGATTATTCTTTATAATCGTACAAGTATATCATAATAATTTCATTTAAGAAATAACATTAGCATCCACTTATATGATTATTTTTCATAATTGTAGAAATGCATAACATTTTTTTTGTCGCGTTTTATTGCATATTTATAACAAAAATAATTCTTACCTAATAATTATTCTTATATGCGTAATACGTTATTATTATATTATTACATATATATGGGTTCTCAAAAAATTAATTTTTGCGTTCCACATTTTTTAATCTTCCAACGGCACACATTTGTGTCCATGTCATTTTTAACAGTTCTTATTTCTCATATACTTGCGTAATTTTTATAACTTTTCCAATGTCCACGTAGTGGAATAATTTAGTAGAGACCTTAGAAAACATGTGTGAATTTTTGCAGAATTTTTCGAGAACTTTAAAAGCTTCAAAATCGGATCGAACACAAATGACTCATGTCGGCCATTCTAAAATATTGAAAATAAGTATACCGTTGCAGGATTAAATACATTTATATACGTTAAAATCTATTCGATTTTTAAAAATATTACAGAGAAAGATTATAACTATATTTATATAGACAACCAATGAAGAACCGACATTTTAATTTATTTGTATCTAAAAATTAACTTTTATACGTGAAAATTTCAGTCCCCTGGCCCTGGAATGTCACAACTACGAAAGTTGTACTACAATTTATGTTCATGACATATTTTATTGACAATTATTTACTAACTGTTTCGCTTCATATACATTCTATATTATACTTATCAATCACATTTTTAAAAATTTTATTCGATTAAATTTTATTTACAAAAAGTACTTTCAAACTTTATCACCGGTTTTAAGTTTCAGTCCCCTAGTTATAAGATTGTTTCTAAAAAATGGCATTTATAGTTTTAGCAATTAAAGAAACAAATTTACATATTTAATAAATACGAAGTAAGGTTGATGCACAACCTATATTTTATGACTGACGGTCGTGCTTACTTAATGTAATGCTGCATATTCGGCATATCATTGCTGAAAAAGTGCTATAAAGGTTGGTTTCACTAACGCCAGTTACTTGATCGGCCGATTAACTTTGTAGTCAGAATGTCAATAGCAAGACTTCAAAATCTATTTTATTTCTAACCTATTGACACACACACACACACACACACACACACACACACACGCACACACGCGCGCGCGCGCGCGCGCGCGCTACGCACGGTAAAGAAAAAGTATAGCGTGGATAATAAATTAGATTTTACAGAAATATGAATACATTTTGTGTATTTTTACAAATATATATATTTTCAAACAAATTTGTTGTTAAGAAATTAGATTAGAAATGATAAATTTTTAGTTTGGCATTTTTCAAATTTAATCAATCGATCAAAGTAATTGGTGTTGGTGGTGAAACCAATCCTACGGCCCGGTTATTCCATCTTTTGATAAATTTTACCTGTTGGGTAAGAGAGAGTAGCAAGATTATATGCGCGGATTACCAGATTTACCTAACTGGTAAAATTTATCAAAAGGTGGAACAACCGGTCCTAAGCCCTAACCCACTCAAACTGCCAATAGTCTGGTATGTATTATATTTTAAGTTTGTTATTTTTATCATGTTTTGTTTAATACGAATATAACCTTGGTATTCAACTTGCTTTTTAATACCAGAATGAAATATTAATTCAGTTTAGAATTATTCGCATTTAACCTCAAAATTCTCAGTTCCCTGGGTTCATTCCTTGTCCTCCCCTGTTAAAAAGTATGAGGAAATTGACAATGAGAGACGTATCCAGGGAACTGATAAAAAATGTATATGTCTACTGTATTTATATATAGAGACACATTATATTATATAATATTATCATTATATTATAGTAGCATCATACTATTATCATTTATTATATCGTATTTTATTTTTTATTATCATTTTATTCCCCTACAGCATAAAGTTGCAGCAACACTGCTGCAATATTGTAGCAACATTGCATGTTGCAGCAATATTGCATGTTGCAGCAATATTGCAGAGATTTTTCAGTGATATTATTGCAAATTCTGTGCTGTATGGGTTATCATTTATTTTTATTATAATATTATCATTATAAATTTGTCTGGCTGCTTTTGTGACGAAACTAACATGTCCTACACATTTCATAAATTCACTGAAAAAAAGCTCTATAAAGCTAGCAGGATCAAATTAGCAGAATCAAATCGAACTTATCGGAATTTTTAGTATTCATTATGTACTAAATTGTACTATTAATGATAATTATATGTCATTTCGAAAAAGATCATGGCGGTGCTAGCTTAATATTAAGCTGGCAGGACCAATTCAAAATAAAAGAAAAAAAGAAAAATAATATCAGAAATCAATAGGATTGTACTATTTTGTACTGCCAAAAACAATGCTATATTATGTGTTATTTCCAAGAAGACAGTGGCGCTGCTAGTTTAATATTTAAGCTTGCAAGACCATAAAAAAAACACATAAAAAAACAAAAATTAACACAACTGAATTTGTACTAATTTATATGTACCATTAAAAGTAAGTTAATATTTTACACGTTTTTTTCTTAAAATGACTTTATTAGTACATATGTTACGGGCAAAGTCCGCAAATGGGCAGTGTCGACATTGCCTGGGCATTGCCCAACCCAAATCGCGTTGAGCAGTGTTGATATGTTCGGGCAATGCTGATATTATACAACAGGCAACTCAGGTAATGTCGACATTGTCCACTTGTGCACTTTGCCCGTAACATATACAATCTATGAAGCATTCCACATCAAACCGGTCACCTTCGAAACATAATTTTATTTTTTTTTAATTTGCTAATTTGCATATGCTACAGATAAAAATAGACCCGTGTTTTGAGCAAAAAATGTGAGATTTTTTTGTGAAGTTATATTAACGTTTGTATAATAAGTTGCAAAAATTCATAAAAAACGTCGTTCCGTTTTACGTCACGCATCATTTTCATATAAATAAATCATTTTTCATTTGTTTATAATTTTTATGAACATTTTCATCATCAATTCATCAATTTAAAAATTTTGTAAAAATATATTCCCATTTTAATTATGAAATAACTCTGAAAATTTCAAAATGGAACTCGAATGGACTGATAGTTAAAAAATTTGAGTTTCATTTTGAAATTGTCAGGATTACTTCATAATTAAAATGGAAATATGATGATATTTTAAAAAAACTTTTAAATTGGTAAGTTGATGATGAAAAGTGTTGATAAAAATTGTAAATAAATGGAAAATCATTCATTTATATGAAAATTAAAAATAACCCATCCATACGATAGTTAAATTTGACACCATATCGTGTCAATTTGACACTGTATAGTGTCAAATATAACCATTGTTTTAGTATAAAATAACGATATGATTGAGTAGGAGCAGTGGCGACTCACATTAAATTAAATTTGACACTATAGATTTAACAGTGTTAGTAAATTTAAAAAAAAAATAAAATGATGTTTCAAAGGTGCTCGGTTTGTTGTAGAATGCCTCATAGATTGTAAGTATATACTAATAAAGTCATTTTAAGAAGAACACATGTAAAATATTAACTTACTTTCGATGGTATAGATATAAATTAGTACAAATTCAGTTGTGTTAATTTTTGCCCTTGTGTTATTTTTTTTTATAGTCCTGTAAGCTTAAATATTAAACTAGCAGCGCCACTGTTTTCTTGGAAATGACACATAATATAGAATTTTTAGTAGTACAAAATAGTACAAATTCAATTCTATTGATTTCTGATATTATTTTTCTTTTTTTTTATTTTGAATCGATCCTATCAGCTCAATATTAAGCTAGCAGCGCCACGATTTTTTTCTAAATGACACACGGTACAAAATTATCACTAATGGTACAATTTAGTACAAAATGAATACTAAAAATTCCGATAGGTCCGATTTGATTTTACTGATTTGGTTCTGCTGGCTTTTATAGAGCTCTGAAAAAGTGTATGGATAAAATCGTTATCAAATAATTCCAATTTTTTAAGAATCTATATATATATATGATATATATTAATATGTATTTGTGAGTTACGAAAAATTGAGCATTTTGTGATGACGAAAACACGATGAGGAAAGTTGTTTTGAATGGTACGTATTGTCATGAAAATGTCTCGAGGGTATAATAGATCTTCCTGTGTTTACTTTCGTAACATTTTCTAAAAATATACGAGTCTCGATCAACATTGTCTGCGTTCTACAGGAAAAGCAGTTTTGAAACTATTCTTTAACATGATTGATCTTGCCTTTAGTACTTCACTGGATTTAAATGTATAAACTAATTATATTAAAGAATTTTACAATAGTTGCAAAGTTGCTTTCTCTGTTGAATGCAGCCAGTACATGATATTAGCACAAAAATGACATTTCATAAGAAGAAACGTATAAATCACAGATATGGCTGTATCTTCCTGGACGGCTGCGGCCGATCCGCGGGGGATTTTAATGCACATTCGTAAATTGACGTACAATGAGGACCATTATAAAACGCCTAATGGCTTTCAATGGGATTAATTTACGAGTCGCGCGGCACGGAATAGGCTGTGCCGCAATGTCGTATTGTTCAGCGTTTTCTAGAGTCCGGAGCTGCAACGTCCTTGCGCGTACAATTGACGAAATGAAAATAGATTTCGATCGCATACACACGTTCGGTGCTAAATTAATTTAATAATGTGATAACAGATTGATATTTGTCTAACAACTTTATTATTAGAGAAATATTAAGAGAAACAATTTTTTATTATTACATTGAAAAAAAAGATTGGCCGAATATAGCATAGCATTTTTAATTGGCTGCTGCAATCAAAAATTGGCTATTGCAGCCATATTTTACCATCTAATTTATTGCAGCAGCCAATCTTTTTTTTCAGTGTAGTGAAACGGTTTTATTGTAATTATTATTTTAAAAATGTCACGTTGGGGAATATTTTTTAGACGAACCACCTAACATTTTTGGTTTTTGTTATTTTTCTGCTCTTGAAAAGAATCCTTTTTTTTGGACATGCATTTTGTTATTTATATTATGTAAGAATTATATATTAAAAACAGTCATTTAAACTAATACAAAGTGTGTTGTTTTTTCATACGCGTTAAATCGTAATAGATAAAAGCAAGGCTAATAACGAGCGAATTCATAATGTTGAATAATTTAAATTATAAAAAGAATAATCTTTATTTATAAAGATGATAACAATCCAGAACGTTTCGACTGCACAGAGCCTTCATCGGCATTATATTGTAATATTCGTAAAAAGTTATATAAATAGATACTAAATTATTATAGAAAAATTAGTCTATAAATTATTATGGCGAAATATGATACGTTGAGAGACGTCAAACAATAACTCAAAGTGAAGATGTGTAAATAAGAACATAATAAGAAATCAACATTAAATTAAAAGCGCTCTTACCACATTTTTTTTACATATTTTTATTTTACTATTTGACGATGTTTCTCAACGTATCATATTCCGCTATAATAATTTATGAATTAATTCTAAGCAAAATCGTAACTTGTTCTCGCAAAACTTGTAAGAATTTATAATTGGAGTTGTAATTTTATGCATACCGTAACATGTTGTTTATAAACATCTACGATTTCTTTTAATAAATCTTATGACAAGAAACAAACTGTACTGATATTACATAAAGTTATAAGCATTCCAGTCATGATTTCTTACAAGTCTTACGAGAAACAAGTTACAAGTCTTATGGTTTTGTTTAAAATTGACCCACACTGAAAAAAAAAAAGGCTGCTGCAGCAAATTAGATGGTAAAATATGGCATAGTATTTTTAATTGGCTGCAGCAGCCAATTTTTGGTTGCTTTAGCCTATCTGCAATGTCAGTATAGGATTTCGATAGACTAACACAACCAAAAATTGACTGCTGCAACCAATTAAAAATGCTATGCCATATTTTACCATCTAATCTGCAGCAGCCAATCTTTTTTTTCAGTGCATTAATTTAATATCTATTTATGTAATTTTTTACTGCTGTAGTATATGAATATTTTAATGCTGTTGAAGATTTTGTACAGTCAAAATATTCAGGATTGTTATCGTAAATAAAGGTTTTTGTAAATAAAGGTTATTACAATTTTAAATTAATCGACATCTTACATTTGTTCGTTGTTAGTCTTATTTTTATCTGTTTTGTATATTACGAACTATATTAATATTTACGTTAACTGGTGATCTAATTTCTCTCTTTTCTTGCATGTGTAAATTTCATTTGTAAATAAAGACAATTTGTATAAAACGGAATAATGAGATTGCTATAAAACACTTGTAAAAATGGGCGAAACTATCCTTATCCCCTCCGACAATCAATAAATAGTCGAAATAGTTCCTAAAGTGAAAATAGGTGCGCGCATTACGTATGCGCATTGAGTAAAAACTAGTAAACGCACTTTACGTGCCTTTTATGACTATTTACTGACTATTAGAGGAATAAGGATAGTCTTAGCCCATTTTTACAAGTGTTTTACAGCGATCTCATTATTCCGTTTTATTCAAATTGTCTTTATTTATAAATAATATGCAAGAAAAATCAACGTGTCGCTTATGACGTATTTCTTGCTTGTGACGCGACGTCACGATTCAATATGGCTGATTGTGAGTGAGTACTCATGTACTTTAAAAACGCACTGCGAATGTACTGTATCACGAATGTACTTCTTCTTGATCGTCGGTTGTATACTAGCCCACAAACGCGGTCAAATGCAGTTGCAGTCCGTCTGCTCTGGTACATACTCGTGTCGAGATGAACGTATATAGATCGCTGTACACTCTTAAATATCATTAATTGTCGCGTTAAAAAAATTAATCGGACAAGTGATACCCCTAACCGATCGCACGCTCTCGTTTTAATGTAATTTGGGTCGTTCAAAGATTTCGTTAGGTAGAAGGTTTAAGATTGTCATTTTTTATCACTTTGGATCTAAAGAATCTAATATCTCCTGTTTTTGAAGCTTACGGTTTAACAAATGATTAATAGAGCTCTCTTAAATTTATACAAAACAATTTAGATAGAAAAATCAATGAGAGTTAGACGCTGATCTCGGTGTGTAAAATGAATACGATTTAAACAAAAAATTATACGCGATATTAAGGTTTCGTTAATTTTTCATAGAAACCTTGTGCTCCCTTTTCTTTCACCTTCCCAAGGAAAATTTGGGAAAATCGATTTTTTTATTCAAATATAGTCTGAATATCTTCGTCGCTATTTTGGCGTTTGCTTCGTTCATCTTATTGTTGACGATCGCCAGAGTTTGTCGATGAATTTCTGCTGACGATCCGCTTTTCATTCTAAATTACTATGAGTGCGTGACGCTAATTTTGAGCTTAGTTTTTATTTTTAATTATTTTTTTAATTAGTCATGTGAAAGTCGAGAATTGTTCTGTGAATCGCCTTTCAAACCGTCAAATTCAACGGAGAAAGTCTAACGGGTCGAGAAGCATATTTATTTTTTGCAATTATCTCGGAACTGTTTTAAACGAGTGAAATATAAAGACAAAACATTGCGAGAACAATAATGCGAACATATGAGCTCAGAAGTTGCTAACGCGAATATACAAAGAGAAAAAAGAGGCAATACAAATAATGATTTTACTGAAGTATCTAAAAATTTATGTAACTAAATATAATGATATTATGATACAGATATGAAAATGATTTTTTTGTACCATGAAAATAATAATTAATATAGAAATCTCATGATAAGTAATGCTACAAAAAGTTTTAGGTACATTCTAGTAATCAATTTGAGCATTCTACATAATTATTTTGATGGTCCAGCAAAATTATTTTTAGATCTGTAGCGAGTTAAATTTTTAGATATATTTCAGCAAAACCGTCTCTTCTGTAAGATACTTAACTCAATTTTAATTTAGTAGATTTCTTGGTAAATTAGAGTATAAAATATATGATAGAATGCATTTAAAATGCGTCTATATTTCGCAATATCTAAGGATGACTGTACTGCAGCTGTTTCAATAAAATATTAAAAAATGAGTCATTTTTCTTTTGATCACACAATGATAATTCTTTTTGCTTGTTAATAATTTTCATTCAGATTGCTTCTGAATAGTATACGATTCTATTTTTGTTTATAAGTATTTTCATTCGTCAAAATTCATGTTTTTTATCTTGCATCGTTTTAGAACTCTTACGGCATGTTACAAAGGTTTTTTTTTTTACATAATAAATCATATGAAATGCGGAAACGCGTGCAACTTTAGCATAAAAAAGTTATAATCAATATTGTTGGTAACTTTTATCTTGTGATCTTTGGATTTTAATCTTGATTTTTTGAGTGACCAATGAGAGTCTGAAGATGTTTATGTTTTTAGATAATTATATGCTTTATGAATCTCGCAACAACTGTAACTAATTATGAAATTGTATTTTAATACATCACACAATTGACCAACGGTAGTTGCGAATACTCTTACGCTTTTGGATGATTATATTTCGTAAATCTCATAACAACTGTAACTAATATAATTATTACATAAAATTGTATTTTAATTACGTAGGTTTCTGAGCGTAGTTTTAGTTATGTTGGTTTCAGTACGTAGCCAAATAAAATATTTTATTATAGATCAAGAAGCCACTGTAGTGATTTTGTTACCTATAGCGACAAGTATGGCAAGTGGGTAACCTTTTATTTCATGTAAAACATAAAAACAATACATATATATTTAAGTCCGATCGCGGTTGCATGAAGGGGAGGTGAGCTTTCCAAAATGTTGCAGATTTTGATTTTGTTACTGAAAGCATCAAGGTTGAATGTTGTTGCAATCGATAGTTAATACCTTTATTCCAAGATAGACGGACTCTCATACCCCTCAGAAGTGTACAAGGGATCGCTATACTGGGTTGAAGTGGTAAATTTTTTCTGAAAAAAAAAAAAATTGATAGCGACAAGGTTGAATTTTTGTTTACTACTTAATTTTGATATCAATTGTCGAGAAATATGATTCCTATACCTTTTGGATGGTCACGAAGGCAGCCATACCTTACCCTCATTAACCCGAATCCCCCACCATCGAAAATCAAATTCGCGATAGGTTAAAAATTTAGTGCTCTTTATTTGCTAAAAAAAATTTTTTTGCTCCAGCGATTTACGAGGAAAAAAAACAAATGGGGGGTCCAGGTTAAGATAAAACTGGATCCCCTATACTGAAAAAAATAGATCCAGTGGTGCTACAAAAAAATTAAGCACACACAGATTTTTTTGCTCTTTATTTGCTCCAGATAGCGTACAAAAAAATTCGAAAATTTAATATTTAAAAAAAAATATCAGCGGTCGCGTTGCGAAAACCTACGCGGTCGGCGTCGCGCTACTTCAAGTCTCTTTTCTACTTCCACAGAATTATTTGCTTGAATATATTTGGTATCAGAGTAATCGCTGGGTTACGTACTGTCAAAATATGACAAAATCTGATTTTTTTACTAACTGTAACGCGTGAGAAATCGAAGAGACGTGAACGTCTCCTCCCTGCAAATCAGCGCGCTATATATCTTAAATCGCTCGTGGAACGTCGTAAGAATTATTTGCTCCAATGTTTTTGGTAGCAAATTAATCCTGAGACTGTATACTATCGAATTGTGCTAAAATCCGATTTATTTGCTAACTGTAAAGTGCGGAAAACAGTCAGTATGTCGAGCAGGAGCGCGCAGTCAAATAGCGCGCTGCGTATCAGTATCATCTTACATCGCTCATGGAATGTCGTAAAAATTATTTGCTCCAATGATTTTGGTAGCAAATTAATCCTGAGACTGTATACTATCGAATATGCTTAATTTTTTTGTAGCACCACTGGATCTATTTTTTCAGTGTGGGGGGGGGTCCAGTTTTATCTTAACCTGGACCCCCCATTTGTTTTTTTTTCCTCGTAAACCGCTGGAGCAAAAAAATTTGTTTTTAGCAAATAGCAAATAAAGAGCACTAAATTTTTGACTTATCGTGAATTTAATTTTCGATTGTGGGAGGTCCAGGTTAATGGGGATCCATACCTTATACCCAAATACGTACAATTTTACATGAAGTAAGAATTGTAAGTATTGTATGTGTTCGGGTAAGTATAGCTGCCTTCGTGACCATCCAAAAGGTATGGGAATCATATTTCTCAACAATTGATATCAAAATTAAGTAATAGATAAAAATTCAATCTTGTCGCTATCGATTTTTTTTTTTCAGAAAAAATTTACCACTTTGACTCAGTATGGCGATCCCTTGCACCCTTCTGAGGGATATGGGAATTCGCCTGTCTTGGAGTAAGGGTATTAATTATCGATTGCAACATTTAACCTTGACGCTTTCAATAAAAAAAAAAAATCAAAATCTGCAACATTTTAAAAAGCTTACCTCCCCTTCAAGTGACCGCGACCGGGCTTAAATATATATGTATTGTTTTTATGTTTTATATGAAATAAAAGGTTACCCACTTGCCATACTTGTCGCTATGGGTAACAAAATTACTACAGTGACCTCTTGGTTTATTAAGGGGATGCTAAAGTTGTTCTACTTTATCATCATTTCCATTCGGTGAAATATCTCCGAATTGAATTGACGGATTGCAAAATTGTTTTTACAGAATTAAAGTACGCACAAATAGGACCTCAGCTGTATCGGATTTTAGGAGAAAATCGAAAAAAAGTTTAATAATTCGCTTACTTTTAGCTCGTACAGCTGACACCTCAGGTCTATATTTGCTTCATACAAGAGTTTTATAGTTTATATCTTGAAAATAAGCATAGGTCTGAGGTCACATTATTGTAACGAACGATACCAAGTTTATAGAACTAAGATTGAAAGTCTAGAAGGAAAGTAATCCCACCGAATAGAAAATACGTATATACGGATGCTTTGCGAAGACTGGGACTGTCAACAGAGTCGAAATTCCATGTAGTAATAGTTGCGCGGTCTTGCGATAGATGGCATATGTTAGATAAAGATAGATGTATGCGTTTAAGTGAGATAGAACGATATATAATATAATGTAAGAAATGAATCAAAGATGTCACTATTATCGAATTTGGAATTAAAAAAAGTCTGCACTATCGACTTCGATCAAGTTCGGTAATCGGTTTAGGATCCCCTCTCTCTTAATTCTTAACATAATTTTTCTCGAAAATTACGTGAGCGTGTGAATAAACTTTTTATCTTCGCGCCTCTTCAGAAAGGTCATCGATCGCATTGCAATTTGCGCCGGATATTCCACAGCTAAAGATGATTTATCCATGCCGTGTCCAGATTGACTGATGGGGAATCTGTTTTCCACAATCCGGTATCTTATTCTTAAAAAATATTGCATACGAAAAACTATAGTATATGGACGTTACATAATCAATAATACTGATTAGTAATATTGAGTTAGTAATACTGACAGATGCAATATTTATTATGCCTACATTGAAAGAAAAGATTGACTGCTGCAGCAAATTAGATGGTAAAATATGGCATAGCATTTTTAATTGGCTGCAGCAACCAATTTTTGGTTTCATTAGCCTATCGAAATCCTATACTGACATTGCGGATAGGCTAACACAACCAAAAATTGGC